CGGTGCACTGATGGAGGATAGGAGGGGATATTTCTTCACTGGATGAAACGGCAGTGAGAAAGCCAAAGGTGGTGCGGCAAGAGCAGGAACGCCGATGAAACACCTGCTTATAATCGAGCGGCTTTAAAAAGCCAGGGCCGGCCACGCGTAAATAAAGGCAAATAAATAAATAACTCCATCCTATAGCGTCATCCGCAGTGGAGGAGGCTCACTCCTCTCTCTCCTTGCACCACCTCAAGGCTGAGGAACCTGCGTCAAGACGCGGAGAGTGAGACGAGGCAGCGTCTGCTCAGCGCTTTCAAAATAAAATCTTTATTTATTTATTGATTCTATCCTGGCTGAGCCTGTACTCCGCAGTGAAAAATGCCAGAGAAGATTCATCATAGCTGACCGCCTTAGTGCTTAGTGCCTGTACACGAAAAGAAGTTAAACATGTTGGATTTTCTCTTTTAACCATGAAAGTATCTGTGTAGAACAGAACGAGTAAGAAGTTCTTTCTGCACATCCATTATACTTATAAAGAAAGAATTCCTGAGCTCAGTTTTTATTTGGTACATCTTGCTGTTGTTGTCTAGACTGAACTAGAGAAATCAAAAAGAGACTTTCAACCTTGCTTTCATCTCTACCTGCAAGTTAACGCTTCAGTCCAATAGCACTGCAGTTACCAAAGTAACCAGGCTTATTGACATCCATGATGATCCTGAGGCGCTGTCTTAAGGGGTTGCCGTATTAAAATCTATTTAGATCTCAGAAGTTTCCTTTTTTTTATGACTACACAGAAGCCCTTAGGCTCCACCAGTAACCCTCACAGGCTAAAACAGCTTTTAGGTCTGAAAAGTTAAGCCACAATTGCGCTCACAATTAAGTACAGTTGTTTAGAATTACCTGGGACCAGGGACTCGAGGTCAAGGTCACTAGTTTCCAGTCTTATTTATTAAAGGGTGACGTTCATTTTATAAATTATGGTCACAGTTAAGGCCTTTAGAAAAGGTTTGTGCAAATATATCGTTAATCAAAAAGATTTTTGGGATTCACCTATCATTAATACAGCCGTTCACACTGACCGAGTAATTTTGCTGGATGAATTTGCGGCATTTATTTTTTGAACAAAGCTCGATTTCCAGATTCAGATACACAGATTTAACCAATCAGATCACTGCATTTGGCAACAAGTGCACTTGTAGTTCTCGTAGCATGCACCGGTACAACATACACAACTATATGGAAATAGCAAAATAATACTACTGAATGGTGCAGAGTCTTAAAGCACCTTAACGGCGAGCATTAATAAAAGTGACTGTGTGATGATGTTGCGGCGCTGGTGTACTGGCCTTAATGGCCATTATACCCAGCTTTATGAGGATAAAGCGGGTTATTCTTTATTCTTTTGTGATTTTTAAGTAGCTGCTGATAAAGAATAGGAAACGTCACTGACAAAAAGTGTCGTCAGTTTGTCTATTACCATCTTTTATGTACAGTCTATGAAAAGGGGCTTGATTTCCGCAATCCAGACACATGCTTGCACCGGTAGCCTATTTTATTTTGAAAGTCATGAAGCTTCATTTCCTGTATGTTCCCGACTCATCGCGTGCACGTTGACGCAGCTCACTGAGTCGCTGTAGGACAACCGGATAACGGGAACGGAGAAGGGGGTACAGGAGGAAAAAAAACAAAAAAAAAACCGCGTCAGTGTGTCAGACGCAGACGGTTTTGCTATTGTATAACACAGGCCTTCAGCTTTTCCTCTCCCGGCTGACCCTGCGCGGAGGAGCGGCCTCTTTTTTCTTTCATTTACCTTTTTT